CTGGAAAGTAAGATAAGATTCTTTTACTTGGGAAAAAGGACAGGCAGAGTGGACTAGGGGTCCTGACTGTCTGAAGAATCTTTGCTTTCGGTGGAAAGTAGTCATCCTGAAGGGACTAGAGGGCCCTACTTGTCAGAGGCATCTTACTTTCGGTGGAAAAGCAAATCTGTGGGTCCTGCTTTTGTCTGTGAGAATCCTGCTTTTAGGGAAAGGGGATCCTATGCAGACTAGTGATATTATGTTTACACAGAGTGGTCAGCTTTTCTTTCTTTATTGAAGAAAGTAGTGATTGAAGCCACTTTATGTAAATAATAATTCACGGGAGTGCAAGGTCGGGTGTGAGGTCATCAACATCAAAGTCTTCAATTCCTTCAAAAGGATCCTGAGCATATCCTGCTGGGAGTTCTGAGGAGGAACTTTGAGAAGATGATTCACAATCTGAGTCAAGCTGTTCAAGGAGCTTCTGGAGGAGCTTTGCCTTGGACTTTTTCTTGCTAGACTTTTTCAGAGAACCTTTAGATGAAGATTCTTCTGGTTGGACTTGCTTTGTAGGAAGGTTAGCCTGGCTTGAATGAGCGGGCAGTTCCTTCATCGGAGTTGCTGGTGGTAAGGGGCCTGGAACTACTACTGGAGTTGGTACCCTTACTGGGAAGTCTCGTCTCACCATTGCGATAGTGTCGCTATGCTGAAACCTGGGCCACCATTTGGCATAGAATTGTCGGGTTAAGTTGAATCCAACAATTTCCCAATGCCATTTGAGTATCCACGGGACTTTGTACCTGCATAAAAATATTAGTAATAAAGGTAATGGGGACTCCTGTTTACTAGGACGGTAAAGGGAGTAAAAGATATTAATCTGATCTTTAAGATCAGCTGGAAAGATTTCATCAATGGGACCATGTAGATGCCACCACTGTGCAAACCATGCAGGAATATGGCTTCTGAAATCTTTATGGAAATTAAGGAACCAGGAATGGGACAAATCCTCATTCTGGTAGAGTAATATTTTGGACCATGACTCAATGTAGTCATAGTAATTAAACTGTCTATTGTGATAGGGAAGTTCTCTGAGTAAAGAAGGGTGAGAACCCCATTCATCAATAGAAATAATCTTGGTAATATACAGGCTATGATAGATAACCTTAGTTGGGTTTATCTTATCATAAATGGGCTTGGTAAATATGGATTTGGTATAGTAGAGAATATCTTGGTAAAAACTATGGGGTTTTTCCAAGTCTACTGGGATATAGGTCCAACCTGTTGGGAGGTAGGCTTGTACAAGGTCTATTGGATCCTTGTATTTGGAATGGGCTAGTTCAATGGCTAGGACATTCTCAGAGTAGGCTTTGACATAGTCAACCTTTGGGCCTAATGGGGCTACAAAGGGTGGTGTGGCCTGATAAGGGTTTGTCATGGCACTAGTGGTCCTGACAGGTTGCTGTTGGGCCATTTGGGTAAAGGTTTTTGGGTTAACAATGGTTGATATAGCTACTGGTCGGGTAACCAGGGCTGATTGGGTACTAGTTGAGTCCATTCTGGCTATTTCATTGGCCATTATCTGACTCAATTTAAGTTGAGTTTGGGCTACTGGCTTTGTGGGCTGAGTAGCTGGTAATAAAAATCTGTTTGACAAAACTAATGGTAAGTCAGGTTCAGATTTTGGTATTATTTTATCCTTTCCCTTCCCCCTGGAATTTTTGGAGGAGGTTCCGGATGAACTAGGTTTCCTG